AAAGATTTGTTGGGGTTTGTGTGTGTGTGTGTGTGTGTGTGTGTGTGAGAGAGAGAGAGAGAGAGAGAGAGAGAGAGAGAGAGAGCGCCTGGGAAGTAGGGGCAGACAGTTCTCTGTGAATTTTGAGGCCAGCCTGGTCTACATACAGAGCTAGTTTCAGGACAGCCAGGGCTACACAAAGAAACCCTCATATATGTATATTCATATATGCATATATGGTATATATGTAGATACATGTACACACACATATATTGTTTGAGCCTATATAATATCTTGTCTCATTGGGCAGAGATCACTGGAATAGAGGAGATTTGTCCATCTGTCATAGAGTACTGTTTGCAGGCATTTATTTATTTTAAGACAGGATCTTATGTAGCTTAGGCTGGCTTCATTATTTCCACGTAGCCAAGGATGGCCTTGAACTCAGACCCTTCTGCCTCCACCTGTTAAGGGCTGGGATTACAGGATGACATGTGTGTTACCATGCCTGACTTATCATTGTTTTTCTTAGGCAGTAAGAATGACTTGCTGGAACATAAGGACAAACCTTATATAAAAATGTTTCTTAGTTGGCATGTTGGCACACACCTTCAATCCCAGCACTCAGGCCGATCTCTGTGAGTTCCGGGAGAGTCAGGGATGTAGAGAGACCCTATTTCAAAACAAACAAACAAACAAAAATGGTTTTTGGGGCTGGAGAGATGGCTCAGCAGTTAAGAGCACTGACTGCTCTTCCGGAGGTCCTGAGTTCAATTCCCCGCACCACATGATGGCTCACAACCATCTGTAATGGGATCTGATGCCCACTTCTGGCCTACAGGTGTACATGCAGATAGAGCGCTCATATACGTAATAAGTAAATAAATCTTTTTAAAATGTCTTCAAGAAGAAAGGATGTATTTTCAAAGGAACAGTGATTTTCTCTATCTCCTGTCTGATCTTGATAAAGACATTTCAGTGTAGTTTAAAAAGAATGGGTTTGGAGAGAGAGCTCAGTTGGCAAATGCTTGCTGAATAAGGGTGAGAGTGAGCCTGGAGCCTGTTGACTGACATGTGACTGACAGGCGTAGCATCAGTGCTAGGAGGCAGGGCCTGAGGCCCACAGGTCAGCAGAGCCACGCTGGTGCACTCCAGGCCAGTGAGAGACTTTGTTACACAGTGAGTCAGGGCGGTGGTGGCACATGCCTTTAATCCTGGCACTCCATAGACAGAGGCAGGTAGGTCTCTGTGAGTTTGAGGCCAGCCTGGTCTACAGAGCAAGTTCCACGACAGCCAGGGCTATTACACAGAGAAACCCTATCTTTGAAAATAGCAATAAACCAAACCAAAGTTGACTGATGGAATTGAATTTTGACTTCCACATGACTGTTCCCTCCCTGACA